CGCTCCCCCTTAGCTTCTCGGCCTCTGAGAAGCCGCACCCCGCCCCGCGCGGCCAGGCTGCCCTGTCCGGGGGCTGGCATGAGGCAAGACGCCCACTGTCCCCCAACTCCAGGCCGCCAGAGTTGACCCCGAAGAGCCCCCTTTTCCTTAGCAGGGGCGCATGTTTGGGTACACCTGCATGGGTCCTACCTTCCGGAGAGGGTTGCAGAGGTTCCAAAGAGGGGAAACTGAGGCAGAGGAGAGCCGAGAAGACAGTAGAGGTCTCCTTACTCCCCGTGTCCCACCCTTGGCCCCAAAGCAACTTCATTCCCCCCTCCTTCTGGCCTATTCTGTCCTCCCGTTGACAACCACGATGAGAGTTTCAAGGCCCCCCATTCCAACCTTCCTGCTTCACCATAGGGGAGCTCCCAGATGCCTGAAAATATCTTTAAATTAGGAAAAAGAGCTGAGCCGCCAGGGCCCTTTGGTCTATTAGAGGAGGAGCAGAGGCCAGCGCCCCCCACCCCCCTGTGCTCTGGTCTTGCATTTGAAGCCCAGACAGTGGACCCAGCTGGAACAATGATGGGGCAGGCCCCAGCTGCTTCCCTTTCAGCCGCCCCGGGCCCCCTGCAAGGTGTGCCAAAATTAGGACGGCTCCCCTCCAGGCCCTTTTCATCCCCGGCTGCTGGGGCGCCCAGGCGCTAACAAGGAAGCTCCCGGGCTGCCTGCCCTCTGGGCAGAGCCGGCCTGGGGACCTCAGGCCGGGCGGTGCCTGGCACTCTGTCCTCCTCGGGGAACTGCCCCCAGGAATGTAGCCCCTGCCATGCGGGGCACCTTCCCTCCACCCCCCTGCTCCTCCCATCCCTGCAGGTCCTGGTGACCTCCGCCTCCTCCAGGCAGCCCTCCCAGCCTGCTGCCATTTGCTCCCTGCTGTTTCTCTTGGGGTTGGGCAATGGGATCTGATCCAAGCTGTGTGCCCCCTGGCAGCTCAGTTGATGGCCGTGAGCCTCAGTCTCCCCATCTGTCAAATGAGAATAATTACGAAAACACGTGTCAGGAGACTTTCACGAGGTTGAAAGGACGTCGTGCGTCAAAGGGGGTACAACATCTTCGTCCTGTTGCTGCAGCCGCATCGGCCCCTCCCCGAGCCCCAGACACACTGGGCTCACCTCCAGGCTGCCCACGGGCTGTTCCTTCTAGAGATCCCCGCAGCTCCCTCCTCCCTTGCTTCACGTCTCTGCTCATAGGTCACCTCCGTGGACGGGCCTTCCCTGGCCACTTAGCCCCGTCACCTGTCCTATGGCCTCTGACATTACGTTGCTCTCCTGAGCTCAGGCTCTGGAGCCCGAGAGGCCTAGGTTCAAACCCTGGCTCCATAGTTATTGGCTGTGTGACCTTGGGCGTGTGACTTACCTTCTCTGAGCTTCAGTAGCTTCGTTTATAAAATGAGGATGGTAATAAAAACCACCTCAGGCAGCGGTTGGGACGAACAAGTGACCTCATGAATGGAGGGCCCTCAGAACAGCGCCTGGCCCGCACCTGCTGTTATTCCCAGAACTAACACTGTCGGTAGGTTCCCGGGTGCCCTCCCCCTCCCCCAGCTAGAAGGAAGCCGTCCTGAGGGCCGATACTCCAGGGGAAGTACTCGCTTTACTCACTGTTGCTCCCTCAGTGCCTGCCTGGCCTGGCACACAGGAGACGCTCAATGAATATTTGACGAATGAGTGACTCAAGGAGGTGCCGCCGGGCCTGTCTGAGCCTCAGTTTCCTCATCTGTAAAATGGGGCGGTGACAGCCTGCTCCTGCCGGATGGAAAGGACTCCACGGGGGCAATGCTGCTGCTCCGATTTCCAGAGCAAGTTCATGCTGAGCCCATAGCACGATGCCTCACCCTTCCAGGGCCCTCTCGATGCGGGGCGGCGGGAATGATGGGGGACACATGTTACCGCCCCCAACACTCATTCTCGCCTTCTCCTTGCACACAGCGTGCCCGCCTGCCCGTCGGGTGGCTGTGTGCCCCCTTGGCCCTCGCCTCCCAGCTGGCCTTGCTTCTGGGTGTGTCACGATCCGAGCCTCAGTTGCTGCCTCTGTAAAGCAGGGTTTCTCCGGTTTGGATCCTGGGTGCGGACATGGCACCGCTCGTCAGGCCACGCTGAGGCGGCGTCCCACACGCCACCACTAGAAGGACCCACAACTAGAATATACAGCTGTGTGTCTGCGGGCTTTGGGGAGAAGAATAAAAAACAAAAAAAAAAACTCCAAAAAGCAGCAACAACACAAAAGATTGGCAAGAGTAGTTAGCTCAGGTGCCAATCTCTCTAAAAAAAGCCAGCCTTTAAGAAAAACCCACATGAGAGCATGGATGCGCTTAATGGCACAGCCCAGGGAGAGGCGACAAGAGACTGTGGACAAAGAGAGGGAGAGCGTTATGGGGCGAATTGTGTCCCCCACAAAGATCTCTCGAAGTCCTAACCGCCGATGTCTCAGAATGTGACCTTATTTGGAAATAGGGTTGTTGCAAATGTGTTTAGTTAAGATGAGGTTACACTGGAGTCGGGTGGGACCTGAAACCAACACGACTGGAGTATAAGTTTATTCTAGGAAAGAGACGCAGGCGCAGATGCGCGAGGGGAGACGACCACGGGACGGCGGAGGCAGAGACGGGCGTGACACGTGTACAGGCCGAGGCGCTGAGGGTGGCTGGAGCCCCGGCGAGCTGGAAGAGCGAGGGAGGACCCCCCCAGAGCCTTCAGAGCGAGTGAGGTCCTGCCCACACCGCGACTCAGACCTCTGGCCTCCAGAATGTGAGAGGACACGGTCCTGCGGCTTTGAGCCCTGGTCCGAGGTACGGTGTCACGGCGGCCCTAGGAAAGGGCGCGGGAGAGCTGAGGGCAGCCAGACACAGAGCGGGTGGCTCACTCCTGACTGGAGTGCCAGTGCCCACCCCCGGCTTTGGCATACTCGGCACCCTGTGCAGGCCCAGGGCACAAAGACGGGCGATGGGGGTGCTTGGCCATGGGCGCAGCATCACTCCGTAGGCCCGGCAGCCCTTCCAGGATCTCCTGGGTGGAGCTGTCACATCCCGGGCGCCCTCCGTTGCAGGTCGAGGTGGCCGTGTCATCAGGGGGTTTGCAGGTCACCCATTCCCTGTCTCCCCAGCTGGGAGGAGCCTCCCCGAGGGCGGGAAGGGCCCCCATCTGTCCAAGACAGCACTGCCCTCTGGACGAGGCCGAGCGTGCGACCCGGCTGGCCAGAAGCGAGAGATTTCACACGGGGGACACGTGAGCCGAATCTCAGTGAAGACCCCAGCGCTGGTGCTGAAACTGCCTGGGTTCGAATCCCAGCCCTGCCGGGGACTGGCTGAGTCACCCTTAGGCAAGCGGCTTTGTTGCTCTGTGCCTCAGTTTCCCTGAGTCTAAAGCGGGGACCATGACAGTCCTACATCGTGGCGCCTCTCAAGGATTAGACCTTTAGTCCATCTCGAGTTAACTTTTGTGAGTGGTGTGAGATGGGGACTAGTGTCATCCTTGTACATCCGAATATGCCGTTACCGGGCACCGTTACTGGGAGACTGTCCTTTCTGCCCTGAGCCTTCCTGGCTCCCTTGTCAAACATTAGCTGACGGTCATGCCTGGGCCTGTTTCTGGGCTCTCGGTTCTGTACCGCTGGTGCCCATGTCTGTCCTTCCGCCAGGCCCAGGCCGTTTGGTTAGACGACGGCTTTGTCACAGGGTTTGAAACCGGGAGGGGGGCCGCCTCCAGCTCTGCGCTTCTCTCTCAGGGTCTTTCTTGCTCATTTCAGGCATTAAATGAGACCGTGCCTGTGAGGTACTGAGAAGTCGGGCGCACACAGTCTGTGCTTCGTGAGTGTGGCTCCCACGGATGGCAGGCGGCCCCGGCCTGAATACGCAGGGAGGAAGGTGGAGGCCAGCGAGCTGCCCCAGGGCCCGGGGGAGCTCCCCCTGCAATCATTTCCTTTCTTCTGGGCGTGCTGGGAGGGACAGGGCTGCCCCAGCTTGTGATAGGGACCCCGGCCAGCCTGACGCCACCAGAGCTCACTGCTTCCTCACTGAGCACCTGCCAGCTGGGGTCTGCTCTGGTTCGAAAGGCCTCTCTGGCCACAGAGAAGCAGCTGGGTGGGGACTAGGGGCCGCGGGGAGACCCTTGCTTTTGTGAAAGTGGGAGACAAGGATAGCTTGGCCTGGGCTGGTGGCCGTGCAGGTGGGCGCAGGTATACGGATGTACGTCCTCTTAGAAGGCCGCCCATCACAGGATTTAGGGCCCACCCTAGATCCAGCAAGAGACCATCTCGACAGCCTTAGCTGGTGACATCTGCAAGGGCCTATTTCCAAAGAAGGTCACATTCCAGGGTCCCAGGTGCACAGGAACGTGCTGGGGGCATTACCCACCCCCACACCCAGGGGCCATGGCTGCTGCTGACAGAGACGGGGAGACAGGGAGACGGGCAGATGGGGAGATGGGGCAGACAGGGCAGGGTGCAAATCCGGGGACAGCGGTGGAGTAGAGAATTCTGTCTCCCACCTGATGCTTGGGCCTGCCCATGAGGTTTCCAAGTGCAGCCGCCTGAAGGTTGGCAGAGAGGCCTGAGCAGAAGATGTCACTGGGAGAGGTCATTGTCAGGTCTAAGTGGCATTTAAATTCTCAAGGCTGGTTGCAATCCCCAGGGCCGTGAGTGTAGCCGCAGGAGAGCAGAGGGCCAGCTCAGGGCTCTGTCTCCAGCATTAAGGCCCAGAGATGAGGAGGAGTCAGTGGAAGAGACCACGAGGGGGCAGCTGGGAGGCGGGAGGGGAACTCGGAGAGCACAGCGTCCTGGAGGCTGAGAATGGACCGCAGGACCTGGCAGGATGGAGCCTCTCCCTGGCAGGCGGGGAAAAGAGCCCAGTGGGAGAGGGATGTGGGAGAGGGATGGGAAGAGGGATGCGGGAGAGGGATGGGAAGAGGGATGCGGGAGAGGGAGGGAAGAGGGATGCGGGAGAGGGAGGGAAGAGGGATGCGGGAGAGGGAGGGAAGAGGGATGCGGGAGAGGGGTGGGAAGAGGGATGCAGAGAGACAGAGGACATACCCAGGCAGTCTCAGGTGATTCGCTGAGAGAGTTAGCACCGGTTCCTGTGGCTTCTGTAACAAACAGCCCCAAACCGGGTGGCTCAAAAACAACAGAAAACAAAACAAACCCATAGACATTTACTGTCTCACAGCTCTGGAGGCCAGACGTCCAAATCAGCATCACAGGGCCGACAGCAGGGCAGCCCACTGCAGACTCGGGAGAATGTCCCAGGCTTCTGGAGGCCGCAGCGTCCCTTGGCTTGTGGCTGTGTCCCTGCCCTCTCTGCCTCGGTCTCCTTGTGGCCTTCTTCCTTCTGTCTGTGTGTCTGTCTCCCTTTCTCTTCTCTCCAAGGACGTTTGTCAATGGATTCAGAGCTCATCCTAATCCAGGATGATCTCATGTCGAGATTCTTAATTTAATGACATTTCCAATCACCGTTTCTCCAAATAAGGTCACAGTCACAGGTTCTGGTGGCTCGGGTGTGGACATATCTTTCTGGGGGGCCACCATTGGACCCACTACAAGGAGGAGAGGAACAGGGGTGGGGACGGGGAGGGATGGAGGGTGACCTCGACAAGCCACTTGACCTCCCAGAGCTGCTGTTTCTGAATCAGCGAAGCAATGGCCGGTTGGCCTTGAGACCAAAGGGGTGAATATGCCCGGGACGGTGCGGCCACGTCCAGGCAGGAGGAGTCCTCTCTGCCCACACACGGGGAGGGCCCCCAGGTCTCTGGCCGCTGACCCGGGTCCGAGACACAGCCATTCCTCGGTGCCCCGACCGGCCCTCATTCACACGGGTGCCAGGCTTCTCCCCTAGGTCTGAGCCTGTCTTTCAAGCCTCTGGATGTTTGTCCAGGAAGTTCCCTCCATGCGCACGACCTTCCCCCTGCAACTCTGTCGTCTGTCCCCCACATTTCAGCTTGAGGGTGCCTTCCCGGCGGTGGGGCTTGGTGATGCTCAGATCTAACAGTTTCCATCATCGTAAGCACATAGCTTTGCACACTACTTTTTAGTGTCACTCTCTCCCTTCTAGAATAAGCCTGGGGAGGGCGCTGCCTGGAGGCCACTGTGTCCCCTTGCACCCAGCTCGGACTGGCACCTAGTAGGCGCTCCACAAATGTACCTGGGGATGTCCTTCGTCAGGTGATGGGATGTGCTGGGCATGACCCACCCCCAGACAGGTCACTTGGTGTCTCAGCAGGACATTCCGGAGTCTTCTCTGAGGTGCCAGGGACACCGTGCACGCACACACACACGCACAGAATGAGCCATCCCCCCCTCCTCCACCCGGCCCTATCCCCGATTTCTTGATGGAATATTTTTTCCCCGGGGCAGAAAATGAACCGTTATTAAAACAGCCCAGTGACTGGCCGGGAAAACCCATTTGCAACGATTTATCCAGTGTGGCGGCTGCCGGAGGACGTGGGCGGAGGGGAATCACATCCCATCAGGGAGAGCAGATGGCTTCGCTCCTCTTCCCTGCTCGGCTCCGAGGCAGCAATCCCTGTCAGCCGGGGGTTTGTTCCTGGTGGTGTGATGGGGGCGACTCTGGCAGGAGGTGGGCCAGGCGGCTGCGTCCTGGGGGCGAGGGGTGGCTTGGGACCCACCAGGACCCGTTCCCCTGCCTACTGCCATCTCCTGGGCGGTGGCCGCCTGCCCGGGGCCCCTTCCCCCAGTCACATCCTTTCAACGTCTGCATCTTCGTCTCAGCACCTGGGATCTTCCTCTCCCCTCTGTCCTCCCCCTTCGGTTGTCCCTTCCCTCGAAGGCAGGGCCATGTGCTGCCCCTGCACCCCAGGCGCTGAGCACAGGGCATCGCCGGGCCCCCCCTCGGATGTGGGCTGGCCCACCATTACTACACATCCTGGCGTCATCGTCTGGCCCCCACCCTCGCACCAAGCTGTGAGCGTGCTGAGGGAGGCGCTGTTCCACCCTCACTCGTTTAGGGATCCGGGTCCTTCCACCCCCTGAGGAAAGCCAGACCCATTGCCAGCCTCGCGGTGGGGAGAGGGGACGACACGACCGAGTCACCCGTCTGTGCCAAAGCCACCGGTGGCTTCTCTCCTTCAAAGGGGAGGCCTGTTCGCCTGGCTCCCAGTGGCCCTTCCCCACCTAGACCCAAAACATCGCTTCAGTTCCTGACCCGACACCCCGCACCTGCCCCGGCCCCAGCACCTTCTGGTCAAATCCGCAGGCCCCTCTGGGGTGCCTCCCCCCCACCATGGTGCCCCTGGCTGCCCTGGTGCTCCGTGTCCACCTCCTGAGTGTGGGCTTGACGGTTCAGAGCCCAATCCAGCCCACAGATGTGATTTGATCTGCCCATGCAGGGGTTTAAAAAATGGTAATGAGTTGCTAGCTTTGAAATATCAGGGGATTAAAAATCTGGATCCCTGGCTTTCCGTTGAGAGACGCAGGCTCCGTAAAGTGGAGGCCACACTCCCACAGGCTGCCCGGCCAGGGCACAGTGCTGCCAGTTCTCGAGTGGTGAGTGGTTAGGGCTACTCTGGACCCAGACTGCCTGGGTTGCAATCACTCAATGTTCCTGTTCTGGAATCTTCCGCCTCTCCCCCTCGCCTGGTGTCCTGGGAGCGGGACTGTGTGGACCCCACCCACCGGCTCCTGGGTCCTCTGGCTCAGGTTGGGTTTGTCCTGTGAGGACCCCTGCGTAGGACGGGGAGTGGGGACATTCATTCCCCAGCTTGGCCCCTTCACCTGTGGCCCCTGAGGGTCGGCTGCATCCCTGTCAGAGGTCACGGGTCCACACCATCCACGCAGCCTGTGACCTCTCCAGGTTCTGGTAACTGCCCCTCCTCTCGCCTCCCAGACCTACGGGTGCTAATGGCCCCCATGTTTCCTGGCTCATGGCTCGGCATGATACCCTGAGGTTCCCTACGTCTGCCACACTTCATACATTTGTCCCTTCATTGAGCTCTGCTCAAATGACCCAATCGGAAAGTAGCACCTGTTTTCATGGGGCCCTGGCTGATACGGCCCCATCCCAAAGTTAACCCCCGGGAAACGGGGATAATGGGAGCATCTGCTTCTAAAGCTGCTGCGAGGATCAGCAAGTTAATGCTGTGTAAGGAAAGGGCTTAGCAAGTGCTGACAGATGCTGACAATTCTCACTGTCCCTCACCACAGTCCCCACCACTCCTTACTGTCTCCCTGACACTGACGCTGAAGGTCACATGTGCCATTGCTGACGCAGTTGGTGTTCTAGACTTGGCTGCTTGGCGTGTTTGTTACTTGCTGATAGTCCCTCGATGCCCTCCTCCAGCGCACTGGGATGGCCCATTCTGCGGCTGCCTGTCCCTGTCCCACTAGCCCCCCAGGGCTCCGGATGTCGCAGGGCCGTGCTAGTGTCCTCTGGCAGCCCTAATGAAGGGCCATGAGCAGGCAGCAGTTTATCCCCTCACTGCTCTGGAGGACAGAGTTGAGACCCAGGCATCGGCAGGGCCGTGCCCTGCCGAGGCCCGGGGGGCCCTTCCTCACCTCCTCCAGCTGCGGGTGGTCCTGGGCTTATGGCCACGTCCCTCCAGTCTCCCTGCCCCCTCTCCTCTCTTCTCAGGACACTTGTCACTGGGTTCAGGCCCCACAATCCAGGAGGAGCTCATCCAAGATCCTGAACTTAATTACTTCTGCAAAGACCCCGTTCCCATATAAAGTCATACTCACAGGTCTAGGCAGACATATCTTGTGGGGGCCACCACTCGGCCCACGACAGGCCCACAGCCCAGCCCTGACCCGGGGGTGGGGCAGCTTCCCTGCGGGGCTCGGGGAGGCCGAGGCCCAAATGCCACCTCACGGCCCTCAGTCTCCCGCGCAGGCCGAGCCTCAGGAAGCCCACGCCCCTGTGGGCAGCCGGGGAAACGTGGGAGCCCCTCCTCCAGCTGGACCAGCATCGTGTCCTCCTCCCTCCATGGCCACTGAGCAGTTGTCATTCCGCGTCCACGTCAGAACGCCCCGGTCCCTGCCCATCTGCGGCTGGCCTCTGACCTCCGCCGGCTCCTCGCAGGGCTGACCCTTGGATCCAAAGTGCACTCTCCCAGCACAGACATCTTTCTCTGCCTCCACGTGGCTTCAGCCCTCCGCTCGCCGAGGTGGCCCTGGCTCCCGCCAGCCTGTGGAGCCGCCTCCCTTTCGGGTGTTCCCTCCCCCCGACCCAAGTGCACCATGGCCAGGCTGGCTGGGTCGGGTTCGTGGAGCTGGTGAGGGTCAACTCTTTTTTGTTTTCTAATAATTTCTTTTTGAGGTGAAATTCGCCTCATGTAAGGTCTACCATTTTAAAGTGTACAATTTGGTGCAGTTTTGCATATTCAAGTGTTGTGCCACCATCGCCAGTCCCTAATTCCAGAACATTCTCACCACCCCGAAGGAAACCGTCCCCATTAGCATTCACTCCCCATTGCTCCTCCCTCCACCGCGGCCCCTGGCGCATGCTGACCTGCAGGTGTCTCTGTGGACGTTCCTGTCCTGGACTTGCACGTCAACTGAGTCACTCACTCCGCGGCCTTCTGTGTCTGGCCCTTTCACTCAGCGTGATGTTTTGGGGGTTCATCATGTCACAGGGTTAATTCTCCTATTGTGAAGCACGTACCTCTTAAGAATACAGCTCTGTGGGTTTTTAAAATATGACCCATCCTTGTCACCACCACCTGGCTCAAGATATGGAATATTCCAGACCCCTGGAAGCTCCTAAGGCCACTGGCCAGGGGGTGTCCCCTCCCAGAGGGTCATTTTCCCAGAGGTCCTCTCCTGAAGGTGACTGTGCCCCCCACAAGGGACATGCGTCACAACTGGAGACATGCTGCTGGCACCCGGGGGGAGAGGCCAGGGATGCTTATCAGCTTCCTCCGAGGCCCAGGAAGCCCCACAGCACGGAAGCTCCAGCCCCGGGTCAGTGCCCACCGTGAGGGACCTCGGCCGACTCCACAGCCGGCTCCTGCGCGTCCTGGATGCCACGGGAACAGGAGCCCGCGCCAGTCCTATTCGTGTTCTGTGCTCTTGTTCAGTGTTGTCTCGAGACTCACCGCGCACGGTGCTGGCTCTTTCTCACGTGGCGTCATCCTCCACGGCGAGAAGATGCCCCAGCCTGTCTTCCGTTTGCCGGGCCAGCTACGCTGCTGCTGTCCCGCGTCTGGCAGTGACGAGGAAGCTGCTACGAATGTCGTGCAGGTGTTTTTTGTGGACCTGGTGCCTGTTCCCACTGAGGGGCAACTGAGGGATGGAAGTGCTAGATTGTAGCAACTGAACGTGGCACATGGGTGTGCGAGAGGCCGAGCTCAGGCAAGTTTGCACAAAACCCTGACTTCTCTTGACGAGTCCCTTCTGGCGACTCTGAGCCTGACTTTTCGCATGATCGCTCTCGGCCTGAGCTGAGCAGTAGCCAGCAGCTGCCGCCTTAAAAGGGGGTGCACCTCCAGCTCCCCACGGCTGCCCCCCTCCCCACTCACTGCCTCACAGCTGCCCCAATTCTGCATTTTTGTTCCCTGGTTGGCATCTGGCTCTGCAGCCCCTGTCCTGGGCCCACGCAAGGTCGCAAGGTCGGGAATTAGCTTCTACCTCCCTGTGGCCATGGCCTTGACTTCCGGGGACCCTCCCCTCCCTGCTCGATCACTCCCCAGCTCCACTCCATCTCACAGAGCCTGCAGCCCCTTCAGACCTGGCAGGCATTTCCAGGTTGCCTCAGGCCCCCCTGCTCCCTATCCTGCTGCAGCCTGGGCTCTGCAGACCTTTCTCTTGGCGGCTTCCTCTGAACCGGCTCTCCGGCCCAGACCACCTGCGCATGGAGTTCACTTCCCCTGGGGGGCATTCTCTTCTGAGCCCCCTGGCCCTGCTGGCCTCCCAGCTTTGCTCATCCACAGCCCTGCCCTGTCTTCCACGCCTCAGGCACTGATGGCCCCCAGCCCCCTGCCGGCGGGACTGCCCCAACCTCCTTCACTGCCTTCTGCCCACCCCCAGCTCCTGCACGGTGAAGACAGGCCCTGGGGCCTGCAGACGGAGGGACAGCCAGGCCAGTAGACCCGCCTAGCTGGCCGCACCTCTGCAGAAGCCACGTGACCCCCAGGACCAGCCCCTAGGACAAGCAGGGCAGGCCCACCTCCTCCCAAGGGAGGGGGCCTGAGAACACGGCCTCTCCTGCAGGCCCCAAAGTCCCGGCCAAGGCGGGAAGAGCACAGGCCCTTCCTGGGGTCCTTAAGTCCCCACAGGCCAGGCCCACGCCCCAACAGTCCCAGCTATCCCCACGCACTGTCCAAGTGGCCCCCAACAGGCACCCTTCATCTCCAGGACTCTCTCTGACTCCGCACCTGCTCCCCAGTCTTCCCCTCAGCTTTGCCCTCAGAGGTTTCCTCCCCCCTCCTCTCTCAAGCCCTCCGCTGGGGCCCGCTCCCTCTCTCCTCACCTCCAAGGTTGCCAGGGCCAGGGCCCTTTCCTCTGTGCCCTTAGCAGCCCTCCCCCAACTCCCCCACTCTCTCCCTCCCTGCTCCCCCCACCTCTCTCCCTCCCCCCTCATCCCCTTCCCCCATTCCCCCTGCTCTCTCCCTCCCCCTCGTCCCCCTCCCCCCACTCCCCCTGCTCTCTCCCTCCCCCCTCATCCCTTCCCCCCTCTCCCCCTGCTTTCTCTCTCCCCCCTCGTCCCTCCCCCCATTCCCCCAGCTCTCTCCCTCTCCCCTAGTCCCCTCCCCCTATTCCTCCCAGCTCTCTCCCTCCCCCCTGGTGCCTCTCCCCATTTCCTCCCCTCCTGCCCCTCGTTCCTCCCCACACCCCCACTCTCTCCCTCCCTGCTCCCTCACCTCTCTCCCTCCCGCTCATCCCCTTCCCCCCTCTCGCCCCTCTTTCCCTCCCCTCGTCCTCTCCCCCCACTTCTCTCCCCACTCCCTTCCCCTCATCCCCTCCCCATCCCCCCCCCTCCCCAATCGTCCCCTCCCCCATTTCCCCCAGCTCTCTCCCTCCCCCTCCACTCCCCCCCTCCTGGCCTCTTCTCCACGCCCACACCTGGGGGAAGGGGCGGGGCCTCCGCACCTGGGGGCCAGGAGCAGGGGGCACCCGCCCCTCTAGGCCAGGAGGGCAGCACAGCCCTCTGACTCCCCTACTCAGGCCCCAACTGGGCCCCATGGCGTCCCTGCCTGCTGGCACGGACTCTCGCTTCCGGGAGCAGGAGGGTGGGTGTTTGCCGGGTTCGGGTTCAGGGTGTGGTCCCAATGGGGGTGCAATGGGGAAGGGGTCCTGTCGGTCCGCTTCCAGGACATGCCCCGACTCGGACCCCCCTCCCCAGCATCCTGTCCCAGGCCTGGGTCGCCTGTCACCTGGATTGACGGCGGCAGCCACCTCCCCAGTCTCCTGGCTCCTTCTCAATTCCCCCCATAATTTCATTTTAATTGGGGTGATATTCACATAACATAACATGAGCTACTAACCATTTTCGAGCGGGTAATTCAGTGGCATTCGGCATATTCACATTTAGTGTCTAGTTCCGAGACATTTTCACCACCTCACAAAGGAAACCCGCCCCGAGTGGCAGTCACTCCCCACCCCTACCCCAGCCCTGGTGCCCCCCTGATGTGCATCTGTGTCTCTGGACTTGCCTGTTGTGGACATTTCATGTCAATGGGATCACAGGCACGTGGCCTTTTATGTCTGACTTTCAAGCAGCATAGTTTTTCAAGGTTCATCCATGCCGTGTGTATCAGCGCTTCCTTTTGACGGCTCAGTAATGTTCCGTTGCGTGAATGTGTTTGGCACCGTTTATCTGTTCATCCACTGATGGACATTTGGGTTGTTTCTGTTTTCCAGCTTTTGTGAATAATGCTGCTGTGAACACCAGAGTGCAAGTATCTATCTGAGTCCCTGTTTTCAATTCTTTTAGGTATATGCCTAGGAGGGGAATTGTGGGTCACACAGTAATTCTCTGTCGAACCGCCCTTACAATCTCTAAATGTACAAATAAGATCACATCCCCCCCCCAAAGCCCTCCCTGGGCTCCCCCCTCCCACAGAGAACCTAATCCAGACCCTCCCATGGCCTTGGAGGCTGAGCCCTCGGGTCACACCACGTTGGCCCTCACGCTCTTCAGAGAGCCCTGCCTGCTCCAACCACAGAGCCTTTGCACCTGCCGTTCCCTCTTCCTGCCTCACACACGATGGGCTCCTTCTCAACCATCAGGTCTCAGCTCAAATCTCTCCTGCTCAGAGAGGCTCCCCTGGGGCCCCTTAGCCTAAATCATAGGCGCCTGCACCCTGCCTTGTCATGACTCATCATTGTTTTAGCCTTCCTAAGTTCGTCGGCGCTCTGAAATTTTCTTCCTGTTCCTGGTGAATTTTCAGCCTCCCTGACGAAGTCGCAGCTCCAGGAGGCCGGTGCCTTTGTGTCTCTCAGTCACCGTCACACCGCAGCTTCCAGAACAGGGCCTGGAACCCGGGTCAGGACCAGAGTGAGGTGCATGAAGCAAAGTAGCCACCAAGATAAATTCTATTTTAAAAAGTAAAAATTCATGCAGAAAAAAAAAATCCATGGTGAACAAAACGTGGAAATCTTCAAGAAAAGGACAGCATCAGTGTCCCCCTTTCTCTATCCCTCAGGCTCCTCACAGCTTTCTGACTGACCCTGCCTTTATTTAAAACGTTGATTATTTTGGTCACCATGGATATTTTGCATAAATTTCAGGTTTCTTAAATATTGCGTTGCAATCTTACTTCTCTTGATTACTCCATTTTTTGCGTCCTGCCCTGGGGCCGGGGCTCACTGGGCCAGAGGGAAGCTGGGGCCTTGTAGCCCCTCCCCTTGTCCCCTGCACAGGCAGGCGGTGGCTCCAGGGCGGTGGCTCCAGGCTAGGTCCTTGCATCACACAGGCCTGATTCAGAACTGATTCCATTTTTTAACTACTTGGGCGAGTTATGCAGCGTCAGTTTCCCATTCTGTAACATGGGGAGAAATTACCTACCTCCCCAGGTATTCAAAAAGAGTAAATGAGACTATTGATGTCAACTCAGGCCCCAACACGACACCTCCACTTGCAGATCCATTAAACCAAATGTGACGCCTACACGGACCCTGCAAACTGCCCTCCCTCCGTGGTCCCCATCCTCCAGGCGCTCGGGCCACAACCTGCCTATTTCCGCCGCATCCCACTTCCAGTCCATCTGCTCACCCTCAGGTACACCCAGACCTGCCCGCTGCTCACCTCCACTGTAGCCTTCCTGCTCCCACTCCCAGCATCGATCACCTGGACCAGTGTGGTCGCCTCCTCCCTGGCCTCCCAGCTTCTGTTCTTGAGCCCCACACTGACCCCCACAGTGGCCAGAGGGCGCCTGGGAGCACCTGAGTCAGAGCATGGCCCTCTTCTGCTCAGAACCCTCTGTGGCTCCCAGCTCGCTCAGAGCAAGACCCAAAGTCGTCCCCAAGCATGCAAGGCCAGCACTGTCTGCCCCAGCACCTCCCTGCCCTCACCTCCTCCATCTGTTCCCCTCACTCCCTCCCTCTAGCCACACAGGTCCTCTCGGGGAGCCTTTGAACACCCAGCATGTTTCTGCCTCAGGACCTTTGCTGTTCCCTCTGCCTGGAACTCCCTTCCCCCAGATTCCCCCATGATTCCTCCCTCATCTCCTCAGGTCTCTATACCTTCTCAGTCGGGCTTCCCGACTTACCTCATCTAGAATTGCAGCTGCCACCACGCCCTCCATCCACCTCCTTCAATTTTCTTCCATAGCGCTTACCATCATCTGACATCCGGGATCTTTCAGTTGTCTGATTTCTCTTCTCTCTTCTCGATTAGACTGTCAGTCCCGAGAACAGAGGATCTTGCCTGCTTTGTTCATCACTGTGTTCCCAGACCTAGCAGAGTCCCTGGCACCCAGGAGGTGCTCAGTAAATGTTGACTGACTGAATACACCCCCAAAGACAGCAGTTGCAGTTAATCCCCCACTGGACCCCCCAGCCTTTGCACTGGGTGAGGGTGTAGGGTGGCATGGGGCTCAGGCATTGCCCAAGGTGGGGGTCCCGGGGCCTCCAAGAGTCCCAGAGGCACACAGAACCCTGCTGGCCCAGCCCCCGAGCTCACTCAAGTTCCCCACGCGCCCCCCCAGCCCCCTGCTCCCTTTCCAGGGCCAGTGCCCTATTGCCTTCGGTGTCTGTCTTACCCTCTGGAACCGGGCAAGCTGGCTTCTGTGTTCTCAGGCACTAGGGCACCCTCAGCACCTGGCAGCGCCCCACTCAGGTCCGGGAGGGGCTCTGTGTCTGAAGAATCCGTGAAGGAGGGAACACGTGAACCGAATAATGAAATGCCCAGCAGGGTCATGCACCCTGGGCAGAGTGGGCTCTAGATCAGCCGGCTGGGGGCACCTGGTGGGTGGTGCTGGTCTGGGCGTTGCCCTCGTCCGTGGAGGCCAGGAACGTGTTTCATCCCTACCCTTGTGCCCCCCTCCCCGCACGTGTTACAAGGTCTGGCGCCAAACGCAGGACCTAAAGAACCTGAGGCAGGACCCCCAGGACCGCGGGCATAGGCCTGAGGCCAAGGACGCAGAGCACTAGGGACAGGGGAGGGTGGAGGAGCACAGCACCCAGGACGGTCAGCGTGGGGACCCCAGGCAGCGGGCGCAGCACACGGAGCGCAGGGCCGGGGCAGAGGGCACAGGGAGCCCAGCCCTGTCCGAGGTCGGGACGCCCGAGGTGCTGGGTGCACAGAGTCCCCGCGACGCGGGGAGATCAGACGAGGGGTGTACCAAGGGCGGGACGCCCTGGGCGTGGGGGTGTTCTGACATGGGGTGCTGAGAAGGGGGGGGCCAGCGCGCAGGGTGCACAGCACGTGGGGTATCGGAAGCTCGGGGCACACTCGGGTGGGAGTCCCGAGGCGCAAGGTGGGATGCTGGGAGCGAGGAGTGGGGCGTCCGAGGCGCGGGGACCGACCGCGCAGCGCCGGCCACCAGGCACCCGGGCGAGGCTGCGCGCGACGCGCCCGTTCCCGGAGCCCGGCTGCTGGCGCGGCCTCCACTGCGGCTGCGCAGCTCGGGGTCTGGGGCGAGGAGAAGGGGCGCCCGAGCTCTTCGCGCCCCCACCTGCTCCCCATCCTCTGCCTCTGAGCCCCTCGCCCGCCCGTGAGCCCAGAAGACCCGGATGGAATGGAGGCTGGCCAAGGGATTCCGGTCGCGTCCACGGGCGCTCCGCGGACCACGGGCTTTGGGAGAAAGAGGAGGGGCTGGGAGGGGGTCCGGCCGGATTTTTCCAAGCTGAGCTGGAAACCCCCTCTCCTCATCTAAGTATGTAAAGGCCACCCCTTCTCGCAGCCTCTGGGGAAGGCAGGTTAGGACCACCCCGTGGGCAGGCTCCTAGGTCACGGGAAGGTGGGTGGGCTGCTCAGGGCCGAGGGTGGGGGGTGGGCGGA